CTTTGTTCTGGTGACCGTAGGAGACTCGTCTAGGGGAGGTGAGGGCCTGGCCCTGGAGCCACTGGGCCCGCGGAGGCTACACGCAGAGCTCAGTCCGTGCCTGGCCACGAAGGCACATTCTGAAAGCTGGCAGGAGAGGGGGGACTCAGGGTGTGGCCCCAGCGGGACAGTGAGGCCGGGTTCTCTCTTCCCTTCTGGACCATGAGAAGCCACGTAGGGAAATGTGTCCCATGCCCCCGACACGTTCCAAAGGAACTGTCTCCTGGGACTGGAAGGAAAACAGGAAGGTGGTGCCTCAGGGTCCTCGAGTGGGGAGGGTCTTCGCTGGCCTGTCCAGGGACTCATTAAGGGCCACTGGCACGTCCTTCCCACCCCGCACTGGCTTCCAGAAGTGGACCCGGAGGAGGCAGAGGGCTGTGCTGGAGGGAGGGACAGGTGGACAGGGAGGCACAGGACAGCACAGGTGCCCAGGAAGGGACACTGAGGCGACATTGGAGAAGTCAGAGAGAGACAGTGGGAGGAAGGACAGACGGGGGCCACAGCACAGGCGGAGCAGAGCGCAGCGTCTGGACGGGCAGGAAGCAGAAGGAGTCAGACCTTGCTGGGTGAGCACCCTGAGCAGGCTTTGACCCTGACCCCGACCTTGACCTTGACCTTGACCTGGGTCCAATCAGACCTCCATCAGAGACAAAGTTCCCTTCTACAGAGGGGTCCATGGATGTGCAGGGCTGGGGAGCTGAGGGCTCCTGCACCCATGGCCCTGGCTGGCCCTGGAGAAGGACGGGGTGTTGGGGGAGCACTGCCTCTTCCCTTGGTCTTCGCAACTCCCTGCCTCTCCCACTCCCCTTCCCACTATCCTCCTCCAGTTTTGCTGCGACTTCTGCTGATTGGTCCCTCAGTACAGGGCACAGCTGCCCACACACTGACCACCCTGGAGCTCCGCCCACCGTGCCCCACCTGCGCAGACCCTGGGAACGGGCCCTGGGCACGGAAGAGGGAGCATTCTGCAGAGCCCAGAACTCAGGCGGGACCTGCTGTCAATCAAGTGTACGGACAGGAGCCAGACCCTGCTGGTTGGGCCCCGGTGGGCAGAACAGTGATGGGCGCACGGACGAGTCCTGTCCCTCTGTCCGTCTCCCCATCACCCACAGGGGTCTGGGCCGTGGGGGTGGCCGAGATCCTTCTGGAGCCCTGGCAGAGGGCTAGAGATGTGGAGAACTCTCCAGGGCCACCAGCACCCTTGCCAAGCCCCCCTCCTCCCCGGTCAGCACTGTTACTGCGCTTCCCCCAGCCGGGCCAGAGCAGGTCCTCCTGTCCCACCCAGCTCCTGGAGAGGACCGCGGCCGCCTGACCCTACCTTCATGGCCAGCGCGATCAAGGCGCCCTCTGTGGGCTGGCCCACCACCGTGTTCTTCCTGATGTCAGCGTTGTTGGCGACACAGCCTGCCTGGAATGTCGGCACTTAGTACCAGGAGCCGCTCCCGGGCCCTGGGGTCACTCAGGACAGAGGAGACGTCGGGCACTCAGGCCTGCCCTGCGGTCAGAGCTGCCCGGGGACAAGCCGTTCCTCCAAGTGAATCTGCACCTGGCTCTTCAGAAGGGACCGAGCACTTCCTGCCTGGGCAGAGTGTCAGCTCCCCAAAGCCCGGGTCGGGGACGCCAGGGAGGCAGGTGGGGTGAGGCTGCAGCCTTAGAGACGGACACTGACCCCACGGAGCTGCACTGGGAAGGAGTGGACGCTGAGCTGTGTGGCCCTCGGTTGAGACCCATCTAGAAAACCAAAACTAGAAAGAGCCTGGGCCTCCCGGCTCCCCTCCTGGGCTGGCTGGCGGGGTGGGTCCGGCACTGTCCCGTGTCCTTGAGCCTGTTCTCAGTCTGCAGAGCTGAGACACTGTCCTTGTCATCATGAAGTGGCACCCTGAGGACCTGAGCAGGGGCACTTCAGAGCCCCAGCGGCCAGTCCCGAGACTCTCTGTTCCCTGCCCTCTGTTTCCAACGGTGACAGCCTAACCTGGGTGTGGCCCAGCCGGTGCCAAGAACCCGCGGGTCCAGCCCCGCTGCCCCGACTCACCTCCACCAGCTTCCCCACGGAGACGTTGGAAAAGTCCCTGATGACCTCCTTGGACGGCAGAAGACACACGGTCCCTTTGCCATTGTACCCGACTCCGCTGACCTGCCAGGGCACAGCAGAAGCATGGATGCCACCAAGAGTCACACCAGCTCCCTGGGCAGCCCACAGTCTCCCCCCGGGGGCCACACCGGGGACATCAGCCTGCGCAGGAGGAGGAGCCCTGCCAGATGCCTGTCACTCAGGGGCTGAGCGGGCTGCGGCAGGGGTGTTGGGGCGCCTGCTGCAGGCCGTGAAGCCACGGTCAAGAGCGTCCAGCAGGAGTGTGGACGAGCACTCTGACCTAGAACAGTGGAAGGTGCTTTCACACCACCAGAGGGCCAGTCCTCAGCCTGTGCTGCCCACCGACCTCTGCCAAGACAATGCCCTGCCACGGGGGGAGGCAGCCCCGTGGCACGTCTGCGGCACGTCTGCCCAGGGAGGCGTGCCAGTGAAACTCAGTTGGCGAAAGTAGCCACTGGCCCTTGGGCCCTAATTTGCTGACCCCTTGCTGTGGTTCTGGGAACTCGCGACAGGCCGAGCCCTGGCAGCGAGGAGCAGGCAGAAGCGGGTGCGTCCTGCCAGGCCCGCAGGGAGGAGGAGGGCGCCTTCTAGCCTTTACATCCGTGATGAGGCCGGGAGGTGGCTCAGCCTGGAGCCTCTGCCTCGCATGCCCGAGGCCCTGGTCCCCCCAGCCCTGCAAAATACTTAGGTGCACTTCAAAACGTGATCCTTCAAAAACAACTAAGAAATAAAGAAGGCCACCTGACAGCAGCCTGGCTGCAGGACACCCAGGGCCCTTGTCCTCACTGTGCTCCTGAAGTGGCCTGCTCCAGGAAGGCCAGGGCCCACCCATCCCTGGCGCACTCACCTCGGCGTGGAGTCCGTCGGACGTGACGAGCTGGGTCACTGTCATCTCATTGGCTGTCAAGGTCCCCGTCTTATCAGAACAGATGACGTTGCAGCAGCCTGGTACCGAGACGTTGGTTTAGGGAGAAGAGGGGCACTGCCACCAGCCCTGAGCCCGTGAACACCGAGGTCCGATGGCCACCACCCGAAGCTCTGCTCCATGACCCACAGGGAACCCTCCAGAGGGACCCTCACCCAGCGTCTCCACGATGGGCAGCTTCCTCACAATGACCCGCTTCTTGGCCATCCGGAGCACTCCCAGGACCAGCGTCACCATGACCACGATGGGCAGACCCTCTGGGATGGCTGCCACGGCCAGGCTGGATGGACAGTCCCAGGAGCCACACTTCACATGGACTCAGGGACCACGTGTGTCCCCTGGGGCTGGCCATGCCTTTAGCTAGCGAGGCTGGTCCCCATCCCGTCCCCGTCCGCCATCCTGGGGCCAGCCCGCTTCCTCTCCATCGCTGCTGCCCTGCGCCCCCTGCAGACCTGCTGGGGAGGGACCCTCCGAGGCAGCCCAGCTCATAGGATCAGCGCCTGTGGCTGACTCTTGGTGCTTTTCATGTAAATCATTCTTACTCAGCAGAGGGACAAACGTCTTTGGGTCTTTGAAAGGAAATTCTAGAATCAGCAATAAGTGGGAAGTGGCAGTGGGCTTGAGGGTCCCCCGGTCACTGAGTTTCGTCTTTCTTTATTCTAGTGACTTAGTTACTTCCTCTGAGGAACCAGGACACGCTTTGCCGCCGAGCTGATCCACTACGGGCGGCTGCCCTTTTTAACTCCTCTGGACCCTGTGACCCCCCCGAGCAGTGGTTGATTGGATGAGAGGAGAGCATGTGACCCAGGCCGGGCCAATGAGATGCTCTCTCTTGGGAATGTGACTTGGGGCTGAGGCCCTCGGATGTTCCCTCCCTTGGGCTCCTTGGGTGTGTCCACGGGTGCAGGGCCACAGGAGAGGCCCTTCTGGCTTGGGTGTGCTAAGGCTCTGCCACATGCCGCACTCCAGGAGGGGAAAGAGGCGCCAGGCCTGGGGTCTGGTCACACCCTCGGGTGGGGCCCAGGACAGGCAGGACTGCAGTGGGCGCCACTGGGAGCCGCGGGCCTGGTGCTCCCCTACTGTGCTCTCTGCTTGATGTGTGCTGGAAAGTCTCCTTTAAACTTAAACCACAAAACAAAGCACGGCAACCAAGCGGTCATCAGGGACAGGAAAGACTGCTGCCCACGGCACCTGGGCCGACTCGCCAACAGGTGGGCCCTGGGAGCCAGGCACCGAGGCCGGGGCACGGCCCGCCAGGGGGAGTGTTCAGGACAGGTGACTCGCTCCAGAGACGGGAGGCAGGGCTGGCTGCTGGGGCTGGAGGGACAGAGGGCTCAGGGTTCCCCCTGGGTGATGAGGAAAGGTTCCAAGGATGGAGGGGTGGCCGCTAGGGGAGAGAACTCCAGCAAGCGGGGTCGGCGGAGAGCGAATCGCGCCTCAGCACAGCTGCTTAAGACAGGAGGACAGCAGCCCCCGCTGGGCCTGAGCAGACCCTCCCGCAAGCTGCCACGAGGGCCGTCGAAGTGTGACTTCAGTGACGCTGCAAGGACGCAACACTTGGAGCCACGCACCTCAGTTTATAGAGACTGCCTGGGGGGCCAGAGGGACAAGTGCCAGAGGGACAGGGAAGGGCTGAGGAACCCCACAAGACACGCCCGAGGGCAGGCCTCCCCAGAGCAGCCGAGGCGTCCAGTCTGGGGCCAGGCCCTCAGGAAGTGAGCCCAGGGCCAGTCTGAGAGGCGCTGAGCACCGGAACCCCACAGCCCAGGCCCTGCCCAGAACAAACCACCACGGCCATGCCCAGCCGCACCAGAGCTGCTCGGCCACCCAGGAGAGGCCCGACAGCAGCACAGTCCCTATTTTCAAACACTGGTAACAAATAATAATAACAATAATAATAAAGCAGTTCAAATAAAGCGCCCTTCCTGACTGCCTCCGCAGGCGGCCCGTTTCCCCCTGCACCACTAGACACCCCGCACAGGGGCTCCGCCGCGTCTCCTGACGGGGTGAACGTGAGCAGGGACCCTGCTGGCCTCACATGGTGGCCTCGGCCTGGCTGGGGACGCTCACTCAACTCAAACCACGCACGGGCCTTGGGCACACCAAGAAAGCCCGGGCACGGCCAAGGAATGACGGGCACGGGGCTCCATCCCCCGACCTGTCGGAAGTGTCTGACTTCAGAGGAGTAGAGGTGAGGAGAAGGTGCATCTCGGAATTACACAACACAGTGCATGAATGCGCCCTTTCACCCGGGACAATGGGCCATTCAAGAACACGTTACATAAACCAAGAGGACGGCGGGTGGCTAAGGGGCTGTGCCGGTTTCCAAGGGGACCGTGAGACCGCTTCCCTGGTTTATGGCACAGGCTGGCAGGGCCAGCTAGGCAGACCAGTACCGGGAGTCGTGACGGGCACTTCCTCTGGACGTGTCCACAGTAATGAAAATAATAATCCACGCACTTGTAAAGGTTAGAAGGGCGTGGAAAAGCCCTCCCTGATCATCCTGAATGTCAGTCGGGGCACGGAGAATCAGGATACACTTGTATAAAGTATAATTCTCCCACCTCACCCATTTTGGAAAATCCCCTCTGTGGTCGCTACCTCTGACTGACGTTTGAGGTGACTGTAATCTGCCACTAGAAACTGGAAAGCATGATCCTATTTTTCTCTTTTGGGCAGTCCTGGGAATGGAACGCTGCCCCCACCCCGCGCAGGGCGCGAGGGCTGTCACTAGGCGGCAGGCCCACCCCTCCCGTTCTGTCTTCTGGGGCCAGGTCTTGCTGAGTTGCCCGGGCGCAGCATGGGGCGCGGCTTGGGGCCTGGGTGCAGGGGTTCTGAGTCCTGCTTCCACTCCTAGATTCGGTAGCCCCGACCACGGGTGGAGCCCAGACCCTCCCCCACTCTGTTCCAGGAGACGGTGGCCCCTGGGCAGCGGTGTGAGCGCCAGTAGGGCTGGGCACCACATCTGCCCGGCTCCATGTCCAGCACCAGTCCACCCGGGACACCCCTTCAGCTTCTCCAAGGTCCTAGTCCTGACTTCCTTCAGCCTCTCCCCCGGCACCACACTCCAGGGACCTCCAGGAACCTCCGCCCCCACGTGGGGGTCCCCTGTGCCCTAGCTCTTGCTCCCTTCCCCACACCTTCCCCAGCCCATCTGCTGTTACGGTGACACATCCAGGTCCTAACCCTAACGTGGCCACTGTGGCCTTATTTGGAAACAGGGTCCTTGCAGGTGTGATCAAGTTCAGACGTGGAGGCCACAGGGTGCCCACCCTAGTCCAGTGTGGCTGGCACCTTGCTGGCCAGTGGCAGAGGCAGAATCCCAATGGAGGCTGGGGGCCAGGGTCCCGCTCTTAGCCCACGAGCAAAGGGGGACAAGAAGGGCAACGGCCGCCAGGCCCTTCCCCGCCAGGCCCTTCCCGGCCAGGCCCTTCCCC